TTCGCCCCCCCCCCCTACCCCATGTTTTCTCTGGCACGCGCCTGCAGCAGGGGCGCACTCCTTCGGTGGGGGCCAGGATGATGGGGAGGCAACCTGACGACCATGAGGACGGTTGGACGAGGTCGAGGGCCAGGATTCCGTTCTGCCCAGTTTTGTCCGTCTTCCCTGGTGGCACGGCACCGCTGGGGAGCCGATCGTCCCCCGCAGCATCGACCGCTGTTTGGGGGGGAGGCCGCGCTCGATGAATGGCGGCCATCGGCGTTCAAACGTGTGCAGGAGGAGGAGGCGGAGGAGGAGGAGGAGGAGGAGGAAGACAGGAGGACATGTGGAGGAGGAGGAGGAGGAGGAGGAGGAGGAGGAAGCAGGGAGGAGCAGGGAGGTGAGGGTGCGGGTGCCCTGCCTCCGCCGCGAACGCGGCAGGCGCGCGCGCTCGGCGGAGGAGGCCGCAGGGCGCGAGGAGCGCGCGGAGGGCAGCGGCAGGCCGGCGCCGACGTGAGGGGAGGAGGGGGAGGACAAGGAGGACGAGGAGGAGGAGAAGGAGGAGGAAGACATGAGGACATGTGGAGGCGGTGGAGGAGGAGGATGAGGAGGAGGAGGAGGAGGAGGAGGAGGAGGAGGAGGAGAGGATGAGGAGGAGGAGGAATTGGGGGAGGAGGACGAGGAGGAGGAGGAGGAGGAGGAGAAGGAGGAGGAGCAGGGAGGTGCCCTGCCCTCGCCGCGAGCGCGGCAGGCGCGCGCGCCCGGCGGAGGAGGCCGTAGGGCGCGAGGAGCGCGCGGAGGGCAGCGGCAGGCCGGCGCCGGCGTAAGGGGAGGGGGGGAGGACAAGGAGGAGGAGGAGAAGGAGAAGGAGGAGGAGGAGGAGGAGGAGGAGGAATACATGAGGACATGAGTTGGAGGAAGAGAAAGAGGAAGAAGACGAATACCATTACCACTACTACTACTACTACCTACCTACCTACCTACCTACCTACCTACCTACCTACCTACCTACCTACCTACCTACCTACCTACCTACCTACCTACCTACCTACCTACCTACCTACCTACCTACTACTACGAGTACTAAAACTAATACGAATCCTAATTATAGTACGAATACTAAATCTACTACTATTAATACTCGTGCTGGTAATAGTACTATTTATAATATTAAAAGTAGTAGTAATACTAATGACACGGATGCTGCTGCTGATGAGGATGAATATTTTTATAATCGTAATCATAATAATACAGAATGGTAATATTGGTAATAAGCATACTAATAATAAACCTATACTAAGAATTAAGAGAAGGATACTACGAATTCGAAACATAGTAAGAAGAAGAGGAGGACACGAGGAAAAGATGAGGCGGAGGAAGACGGGGCACTCCAAATGCCTGTTGTCTTGTCCCGTCGGCCTGCGCCGAGCTGTTGTGCAGCGAGGCCCCAGACGCTGGCCCTTCTGTGGATGAGGAGGCCCCCATGCGTATGTAGTTCTCCCCTGCAGTGCTCTGCCCTGCCCGCTGCCCCGTTCCCTGCATCCCATCCCCGGAAAGCCAAGGATCGGCAGCGAGACCCTGATGTCGTGATGCGGTGAGGACGAGTGAGCGAAGGAGTGAGTGAGTGAGTGAGTGAGTGAGTGAGTGAGTGAGTGAGTGAGTGAGTGGATGGAGGAGGAGGAGGAGGAGGAGGAGGGGGAGGGTGGAGGGAGGAGGAGGACGGAGGAGGAGGAGGAGGAGGAGGAGGAGGAGGAGGAGGAGGAGGAGGAGGGAGGAGGAGGAGGAGGAGGAGGGAGGAGGAGGAGGAGCAGGAGGAGGAGGAGGGAGGAGGAGGAGGAGGAGGAGGAGGAGGAGGAGGGAGGAGGAGGAGGGAGGAGGGGGAGGAGGAGGAGGAGCGAGGTGAGGGTGCGGCGGCCCTGTCCCCGCCGCGAGAGCGGCAGGCGCGCGCGCGCGGCGGAGGAGGCCGCAGGGCGCGCGGAGGGCAGCGGCAGGCCGGCGCGCGGCGCGCGATGCGCGCGCGCGGTGCTGCTGCTGCTGCTCGGGGGGCCCCGGACGGTGCGGTGGCCACAGTGTGTGTCAATGAAGCGGAGACGGGGCAACAGTTATGTTGTTCCCGTCCTACTGAGGGACCACATCCCAGAAATAATTTCGAGCACCCAGAAACGTGTCAAAAGAGTGTCGGAGCAGTGTCGAAACAGTGTCGGGCGAGTGTCTCCCAGGGCCCGACACGTGAAAACCCTCGAGTTTCGGCACTTTTTCTGGCGCTCGAAATTCTTTCTGGTGGTCAAGGCTAGGTGATCGTTTTCTTGTTCGTTGTGTTGCCGATCGGCGCGGTGCCCTGGCCCCCCCCCCCTCCGCCCCCCCCCCACATGGAGTAGACCTTAGCCGTTTCGGGGGCCTGTTTCGAGCAGGTGGAGTCTCCCCCACGGGACGCACGGTTGCAGACAGTCGCACTGAGCAGAGGTCTGGAGCCAGACCCCTCCCCCCCTTTCAGCCCGATGTCGAAACGCCGAAGAAGAAAACGTTCGCCAGACGGGGTAACAGAGAATGGCCGTTTCGAGGCAACAAACGCGCACTAGGTTGCTGTGCAGTTTATTATCCGGCTTTCGCGTTCAATATGCAGCACCTGCCACATGCTGTCTGCGTTGGAAATTTTCGGCTGCTGCACTGCAGCTTTTTATTTTGGGCCCTCTGTGGGGCTTGTTTGCAGTGTTCCCGCAACTAGTTCAGAACAAATGCAGTACAATTGTTCTGCGCGTTGCAGAAAAGCTGCCGTGCATTTTGGTTGTTCTGGCCGTTGCAGTTTCTCCGCCTGGATCCTGTGGCGGGCCTGTTATCCCACCCAGGTCTTACTCGGTTTAGTAGTTCCTTTATTTATGATGTTCCAACCTACTTTAGCCTTGATCACCAGAAAGAATTTCGAGCGCCAAAAAAGTGCCGAAACTCGAGGGTTTTCACGTGTCGGGCCCTGGGAGACACTCGCCCGACACTGTTCTGACACTGTTCCGACACTCGTTTGACACTTTTCCGGGTGCTCGAGATGATTTCTGAGATGTGGTCTTTAAGTCGGATGGGGACAACATAACCCTAGATGTGGTGAGTGAGTGAGTGGGGGCTCTCGTGGGCGAAAAAACATGCAGTCGGGATTTTCGGCGCGCTTGGCCTGTCGCTTCTCGGCTAGTTGTCACGCTGATAAGAACAGATACTACACTTGATCATCGCCAAAAGGCCGAGAAGGTATGCTCGAACTTGCGCGTCCGCCACTCGGGCCGCCGCCGCAGCTAAAACATGCCCCCCCCAGGGGGGGCCTCCTCCCTGGGGGCACTTGGCTCGGGCCTTCGGCGCCCCCGTCGGTGCGACACTCTGCCCACTTCCCGGGCCACCTGGCGCCAGCGTCCCGAGCCTCTCCGAGGCGCTCCCGCCCCGTGGAGCGTGAAGCGGCCCTGACACACACACACACACACAGAGACACAGAGACACAGACACACAGACACAGACACAGACACGTAGACACACAGACACACAGACACACAGACACACAGACACACAGACACACACACAAATAGACACACACACACATAGACACTAATACAAGGATGCCCGATATTTTCCCATATGTTCTGGGTTTTTGCCTTCCCCCCACTTCCCAGATTTTCCCATAGTTTCTGGGGAATCGACGATTCATTGTGTCTGTGTGTTTTATTCCTTCCTGAGAACGCTGTCCGCTCGCGCGGCATAGCGTGCCGCCGGGGCCGCCGCCGCGACACGCGTTAAGCGACAGGTCCTGACCGCATCCACATCTCTGGCCTCATGAGCCGGGCCCTTGGGCCGCGACCCCGCGGGCACGGAGCATTTTGTTCGTGGTGGCCTCGCGCGTAGCGTATCTGTGCAACCGCGTATCCGCGGGATTGCGCCCCACAGTCCAAACGGCGAGGGCGCGGGTGCGGATGCTCGCCGCTCGTGAGAATTCGGAGCGGCCGCACGCTTTTGGGGCTCGGGCCGTTCGCCGTGAATGTCTCTGGCGATTGGAGCCTCCGAGATCCCACAGCCGTGCGGTGACGGACCCTGCGGCTGAGGTCTCCTGGGGCTGCGAGGTCACCGCTCGGCCGCGGCCTGTCAGCGCACCACTCCGGGACCCCCAAGCGGTGCGGGCTTCCTGCGCCCGGCCGCCTCCCTGGTACGAGAGGGGGGGGCATCTTCGGGCAGCGCCCGGGCGTGTCACCACCAGAGGGGTCGCCCGCTCCTCCCGGACGTGGAGAACTGAGGAGGAGGAATGATCGAAGATGTCTTAGGAGGAGGAGCCTTGGGAGGAGGAGGAGGAGGAGGATGAGGAGGAGGAGGAGGAGGAGGTTTGGGACGTGTTGGGATGTCTTTGAGAGTCCTGGGGGGTCCAGGGGGGCCGTTTCCTGCAGGAGCTGGCAGCTCCCCCCCATCAGTGGTGACCCGCTTTGGCACTGTTTGGAACCACCACGTGATGCACGGGCATTGCAAGATAAGATGGATTGGATTGGACAAGATGGTGCGTGCGTGCGGGCGGGCGAGGCGAAGCTGCGTGGGCGGGCGAGAGGAAATCTTCCTGTGGCTGGGCCGCGGCCGGACCAAATGATTCCCCCCCACGGCCGGTGGCCCGCGGTGTCCCGCCAGCGCCCCGCTGGTGTCCCGAAGTCCTCCTGTGGCTGGGCCGCGGCCGGACCAACTGATGCTCCTCCCGTCAAACGGTGGCCCGCGGTGTCCCGCAGGTGTCCCGCTGGTGTCCCGCCGTGGGTTGCGCGAAAAGCATATCGAAATGCAAATCGATTTGCACATCCAAATGCAAATCGTAAGGCGCCGTGGGCGCCGCGGCGAGCTTTCCAATGCATGTCGACATGCAAATCGAAAAGCAAATCGAAGTCCACATCGATATGCAAATCAAGATGCAAATCGAAAGGCACATCGTTATGCCTTGCTGTATGCTGCGCCGCCGTTGTCGCTGTCGCACCGCGGCCAGCTGCCCACGGGCATCGTCAGAACAACAGCCACCACTTTTGCTCACTGCCCCCCCCAACTTCCTTCTCACCCGCAGGGTGGTCTCGTATAGGCATATCATAGAATCTGCAACCCTGTTGGCTGAAGCCGCTTCGGCTTAACCACACCCAAATTGCACACGCACACACATTACCCACCTGCAGGCCGCAATGGCCCCCCTCGCACGCCCGGCCTTCCTCTCCGGCCTCGTGCTCCCGGGCGCCTGGGCGCTGGGCCTGGCCGCGGAGCAGGGGGCCTCGAGCTCCGCCGCGGAGCGCCTCGCCGCCGCGGAGCGCCTCGCCGCGGAGCACCTCAGCGCGGAGCAGGGCGCCGCGGCGCTGCGCCTGAAGGCGGGCTCGGCGGGGCGCGCGGGCGTCCTGCAGACGCCCGAGGAGCTGGGCTTCTCCGGCGACGCCGGCGAGACCGAGAGCGACGGCAAGGCCTGGGAGCAGCCGCCGGGGGGTGGCCGCGCACCTGGCTCCGGCCAGCTGCACGGGGGGGAGAGAGGGGCGCCCTGGTCGCCACGGCTGGGCGCGGCTCGAGGAGTGGATCGGCTTCGAGCCCACGGGGGGGGGTCCCGCGACGGATTGGGAGCAGAGTTGCCCTCGTCCCCCCCTTTTCGTCACCGATTGTCCCCGGGGGCCATCCAGCACAGACCCCCTGGCCGCTTCCAGAGCAAGGCCCAGTTCGGGGAGAACTTCTGCCTGGACATCGGCGCCAAGGGCTTCCCGATCCCGGCGCAGAAGATGCTCCAGGCGGTCGACTGGGACGCGGCGGCGTACTTCGCGCAGCTGCAGGGGGCAGGGTACGCCGAGGACGCCCTGCAGATGACTGGCCCAGACGCAGCCATGCTCAAGTCGGACTGCATGAAGGAGCGCGGTCACGGGAAAATCAAGCACATTTTTGTGGGCGACTCGCAGATGATGTCCCTCCGTAATGCGTTCCACCGCCTCAACAAGTGCCCTGAGATCTGGTGGTCCAAGAACGACACGCGTTTCGTTGATGACATGATGATGGCAGTGCGGAGGAACGAGAAAGACGGACCAAAAATGAAGAGCAGGGCCCGCTTTCACTCTCACGTCCAACAGACCCCGAATGTGACGGAGTTGCCTCACGGCTGCACGGAGGGGGGCATTGCATCTTTCATCCACTGGGACGGTTGGGTCAGCCACCAGTTGCCCGTGAAAGAGATCAAGAAGGAGATGGATTTGCTTGGCGTGGATCCTTCAGAGGGGGACACGATTGTCGTCTGGGTTGGCTCGAACTTCATCCCAGCAAGCCACAGGATGTCCGCCTTGCTGGAGTCCATCAACAAGCTTCACGAGCTGAAGGTCAAGATGGTGTGGGACTCACCGACCTTCCAGGACGAGGTCATCATGGCCGCCACGACGACCTACGACGGTGGTCGCGACCCGCGCACCAACATCCCCATCGCTTTCAACTCCATCCTTCAACGGAAGCTCAAAGGGCGTCTGGGGTCGAACCAGTAGACAGGTGCCTGCGGCAGTTCCCACCACCGTGCCAGCCCAGCATTCCGGGTGGCAACCGCTCGAGAAGGCGTGGGAGGCCGTCGCGCGTGACGCCTCGTGCCTCCAGGCTTGGATGACGAGGATGTCGAGGACGGCGACGACGACGAGGCGGAGGAGGCGGAGCAGGAGGACGAGGAGGAAGAGGTCGGCCGGCACATGTGGCACCTTCCGTCTTCGTTCCTTGAGGAGCCGGCATGGGACTCGTCGTTTGGGCCGTCTTGGGGCTGCCTGGGCCGGGGGCCCCCTGGGGCCGTCTCGGGGCTGTCTTCGGCAGTCTTGGGGGCCTTCTTCGGCAGTCTTGGGGGCCTTCTTCGGCCGTCTTAGGGCCTTTTCTGTTGGCCGTAGGGGGGGGTCTGGGGGCGCCGTCGCGGGGGCGTCTTGGCGCCGTCGTGAGCCATCGGAGGGCTTTGAGCTGCTGGAGGACCGAAAACGTGAGAGTGCAGAATCCATCATGGAAGTCTTTTGAAGGCACCTTGAGTCTCTTGGCGCCTTGTTTCGGGAACTGGCGCATATACATTACCAGTTGCGTTTTTTTTTTCAATCCCACGAATTTTTGACTTCGGGGACGACGTCGGGGTGATGTGATGTATACTTTTCCCCGGTGTTCCAAGGGAAACAACGAAACATGTATACACCAGGATGTCGTATACACCAGGATCCGCGTTCCCGTGCGAATTTCAGCGCATGGTCGGAGAAAGCGTCTGTGTGTATATATATATATATATAGAGAGAGAGAGAGAGAGAGTTCGTCTCCCGACTGTTTTGGAGGCACCTTGAGCCTCTTGGTGCCTTGTTACTATGCTGTCTTAGGCTTGCTTGTGTCGTCTTGAGCCCTCTTGGCCGTAAGGTGGATGCTTGGGGGGGGCGTCGAATCCTGGGCAGTCAAAGGCCGTCTGAGATCCCACGGGAGACCCTCTTGGGACATCGAGCAGCCGTTTTAGATGCCTCGTGGGCCATCGTGGGGTTTTCTTGGGCCATCCTGAGGCCCTCTTGGGTGTCTCTTGGACCGTCTTGGAGCCATCGTGGAGGCTCCGTGGATCATCTTGAGCTACTGACGGCAGCCAGTCAAGGCCATACTGCGAACATCGTCGCACTTCCAGTGGGAGCCTGTGGTGTCGGCTTCTTCGGATTCTGCTGGAGGTCCTCTCGTGGCCCTCGTGGAGGCATCGTGGGCCGTCTTGAAGCCATAGGAGGAGGAGGAGGAGGAGAGGATCCCCTCGCTGGAAGACGAGAACCCTGCATCCTGCCGCGCCTCCAATCGCGCCCGCGGGGCGCGGTGGCGGGCCGCACCGAGAGGGAGCTCTTCCAGCAGGGCATCGAGGTCCCCACCACGAAGCGGTGGCAGATCTCCAACCGCTACCGCGGGCTCCAGTGCGACGGCATCCACTCCGACATGCGCGCCAGGGACCCCCTCTTCTTCGACATGCCGTGCCCCATGGGCCAGCAGAAGTACGGGCAGTCAACCTATTGCACCTGGGTCGAGCCTTTCAAGAAAGAGCTGCGCGGCGTGTGTCCGGTAGCCAACGGGCTGGACGATCTGGTGCTCCAGAGCGGGCTCTATTCCATGTGCGCTGCGCACGAGGAGCCTTTCTGCTACATGCACACCGAGCTCATCCGTTGAGGACTTGGAACTAGGGCCTCACAGAGTGAGGGCGGTCTATGCATGATCTTCTGGTTGTGTCACCACGACGTGTTTGCTTTCATTTTGCATCTCGGTGCCGCGTGCGGCTTCTTGGCACGGGAGGGTGTTGCTGCAGCTGTCGCCCATGATCTTGCGCTCACGGCCATCGCTAAAATATCGGAGCCCCCCTTGCTCTTCCATCCTCCTTCCTTTTGAGTGGACCGTCCCCGTCAGGGCGGGGAGGGCGTTTCGCGTTGGGGACCCCCGCAATCTCTAGTCCCATAGCTTTGTGTGCCCAACACCTGCACTCGGGAAGGTCCGTCAGTTTGGGGTATCGGTTCGAACCTGGACAGGTGTCCGATGTGCGTTCGCTCGTTTTCGCAAGCCGCGTCGCACGACTCAGCGGCTCCGCAGGGGACGAGTGCTGGCCGCGCCAGAAAAAAAAGGCCAGACGGGCAGCACACGTGTTTCAAAGGGGTTGCGCATGCATTGCAGCACGAGGTTGCTTGGCATGCACTGCCATATATATATATATGTATGTATATATATACATATATATATATATATATATATACAAGACTGCATTGGCGCTTCGCGCCATGCACCTTGGTCCTTCAAGCCTTGCATGTGGTGGCACTTGGCGCGATCCTCCGCTGCTTCTGAACTTCGGCCGCTTCGCGCCCAGTCCCCATAGCCGTTCCTGATTCGCTTGCGCCCTCGCTTTGCAGGTCCGCGCGCCACTCGGACGAGTTTGCCGGGATGTGGAGAGACAGCCAGCATGCGGGCGATGTTCCGAATCATTGAAATTATAGGAAATGTACAGAATCCTATAGAAATATACTGAATCCCAGGTTCACGACCGATTTTTTTGGGAATTGGGTTACGAACCCTGTTTTGCGTGGGAAGCCGCTGTCCAGAAGACGGCGTGTGAAGTGCTCTCCGGCCTGTTCAGGGGTCCCCTCGAAGTTTGTTTTTTACTGTCTAGAAGTGTATTGGGCCGTTCTGGGGCCTCCTTGGGCGTGTGGGGGCCCTTATGGAGCGGTGTAGGGCCCTCCGGGGGAACCTTTTGGATCGGTTTTCCGTCGTCTCGGAGGTCTCCTGGGGCCGTCATGAGGCTCTGTGTGGGGTTTTCGGGGCCGCCATGGGGTCCTCTTGGAGGTCTCGTCGGCCGTCTTGGGGCGGTTTCGGGAGCTTTTGGGGCCGTCTTGGACAAGTCGAAGTTACGAATATGTCAAAAATGCACATTGTCCGAAGGGAATGAGAAGATGTTTGCCTGTTGGGGGTCGTCTTCGAGGCCTTTGGGGCCGTCCTGGAGGCCTCTTGGTCACGTCAGTCACTCTTGGAGCGCTCTTGTGCTGTCTTGGGCGACGTCCCCCCTGATCGTCTTAGGTGTGCTGGGAAGGCATGGCAAGACGCCCTGGGAGGCCCAGGGGGCCGCTTCGAGGCCGTCCGGAGGGTCCCAAAGCCCCAGATCCCGGGAGTCCGGTTTTGGGGGGGGAGGGGTGTTCCCCCCGCCCGGGCTTGCACAATTATTTAGGAAGAGGAATATATATATATATATATAGCTTCTCTCTCTCTCTCTCTCTCCCTCCAACTTCGCAGCACCTGCACCGGGCAGGCACGAGCTCTCGGTGTGTTCTTGATCACGCGTTGTCATGTGGATGTTCGCGCCTAAGCTGTGTTTGCTCCGATGTATGTTGGGCGATTGTAAAGGCGTACGGTATCATTAATAAAGGCGTTGCTAAAACTATTTACGCTTCGCGTATCTCCGCCATCCGTGGTCCACGTCCCCTCCGTGCGGGTTGTGCCATGGCAAGTTTGGTTCTCAGACACTTTGTCCTGTGCACGTGCCCGAGCTTGCAGTGCGCCGTTCGGACCAGCTCCACCCCCCTCAGCTCCGCAGCTGCTGTCTGAGTGGGCCGGCCGGCCTGCGCCTGTCTTAGCTAATTCGCCTAGTTCGTCCTGGACTTTGCTCTCGCCGCCTGACCGTCGTCTCGCGGCCGCGACCGAAAACGTATCTCCGCCATCATGGTCGCGCCGACGCGCCATTTTGGCTGCGCTTACTTGCTGGTCGCCACAGGGATTTCCAACGCCACCGGGTTTGGGAGTATCGGCTCTGGCTCTCCTTCTGCGTGGCTGCCCGCTCGCTCGCTTCGCTTGCCTTTCTTTTCCTGCTGCCTAGTCGCGGCCCGACTAGTGTTCGGACGGTTTTCGACCCGCCTCGCGAGCCTGTTGACCAAAAACGTATCTCCGCCATCTGATCCAGAAGCGAAGCCCAGGCGATTTGCCTTGCTCAGGGAGGAGCAAGCAATTGAACGAAGAAGGACGCAGATGTCAATCTAAAGCTCGGGGTCACCTTGAGCAGACCCAGGAGTAAACCATGAATGGCTGCTCGGATCGTTCGATAATGGGGCCCTCTTGGCAGCTTACGTGCGCCCTCTTGGAGGACACCGATTGCAAGATTGCGTCCTGGGCAAATCCATTTGCGTGTGTGTGTGTTTGTGTTGTTGTTTGTGATTGTGGTTGTGTGTGTGTGTGTTCGATTGTGCTTATGTTTTTGTGTTTGTGCTTGTGTGTGCGTGTGTTGGGGTGTGATTGCGTGAGTGCTTGTGGTTTTGCGTGTGTTTGCGGGCGTGTGTGTTTTTATGTGTTCGTGTGTGGCTGTGCTTCTGTGATTTCGTGCTTGTGTGTGTTGTGTACGTTTGTGTTTGTGGTTGTGTTTGTGTATGCGTGAGCGTGTGTGTGTGTGTGTGTGTGTGTTTGTGTTGTTGTTTGTGATTGTGGTAGTGTGTGTGTGTGTGTTTGATTGTGCTTATATGTTTGTGTTTGTGCTTGTGTGTGTGCGTGTGTTGGGGTGTGATTGCGTGAATGCTTGTGGTTTTGCGTGTGTTTGCGGGCGTGTGTGTTTTCATGTGTTCGTGTGTGGCTGTGCTTCTGTGTTTTCGTGCTTGTGTGTGTTGTGTACGTTTGTGATTGTGATTGTGTTTGTGTATGCGTGAGCGTGTGTGTGTGTGTGTGTGTTTGTGTTTGAATGGTGTGTGCGTTTGTGTGTGCGTGCATGTGTACGCGACAAGGTGCAACCCCGCTCTGAGCTGGCACGCGCGGGCATTTGATTTGTTTCGCCTCGTCGTTGCGCGCGTGGCCGCGACCTCCACGGGTGTGTGTGCGCGCGTGTGTTGTTTCTTTGTGTGTGCGCGCGCGTGTGATTCCCCAGGCTCGGCGCGTAGGCTCCACAGTTGGATCCTCCGCGAGCTTCGCGGCGCCTTCCGCGTCTTGTCCCAGACGTTTTTGGTCGATTGGGTGGCGACCTAGACGTCGGTGCGTACAGTGCACCTCGCG